AATATGCCAGAATAAATTTCATTTTCTTTTCAGTAAACAAATAAAATCACTTGTAATTTGTACAAATATTATGATTAAAACCAGAACCTCTGTGTACATACTTGACAGATCTATTCAGAAAGCTACTTGATAGATCATGAAAATTTGACTTGCCACTTGGTAAATATTTAGGAAAACCATTTTATTGGATATTCAAAATTTGAATATCCAACAGCAAGTTCAAAAAAGTTATATCTTTTTATCTTTTTTTGCCCTACTATCAAATTTTACCTCTGCCTGTATTTAATGGTGAAATAAGAGTTTTACTGATGTACACCTGTGAAAAAAATTTAACTTAATCTCCAAGATAATATGACAATAGTCTGAATAATGTGAATAGTGTACTGAATAGTACTCGTTAAAGGATGCCATTAATGTTTTAAGTTTTCTATTTACGTCGCGGAATTTGGCGCTCTTGATATTTTGGCAATCTGCTCTTTTTGTAATATGAATTTCTTGCAAGTCCTGTTCTCTTTTAAGAGCGTCTAACAATTTCCATATTGTCGGATGATGGGATGACACTTTCTGCTACTGCTGCAAAAAAAAAACAACAAAAAAAAGCAAACAAAACAAAAAAAAAACAAACAAAAAAACAAGAAAAAAAAACGTATATCAAGAGTGTTATTAGTTCTAGGTAAATTAGCATTGATTCTCTCAATGCAAGACCAAATACATATTTCAAACATCGGTATTTCGAATAATTATCATTTAATGAAATTGTCCTTTTGATTAAAATTTTCATTCAAACAATTTTCAATCCGAATAAATGTTTTTCGAATAATTATTTTCGATCAATTGTTTTCGAAGTATTTTCTCGATGCAGAATTGTTTATCGGACAGCCGAATTTCAATTACAGTTGGGTTCCTTATATTCTCTTACGCTTCGGAAAGGTATGAATCCACCTCTTCTCCTCAAGCTATGGGTTAATTAGTAAGACTTGTATCACTAAATCATTTCTCCCACCACCCTCAACACAAAAAATTCTTACAATCCAGAAATATTTTCAAGTTTTAAATAACCTGCAAAGGGTTGATAAACCGTAGAAAACGAAACAATGAATCAATCAAATACTGATTAGCTACACAGGCATGTCTTTTAGATTTATTTACATTCTCGGGCACAAAGTGAGGGCTGAGTTTATACATCGCTTGTAATATAGAATTGATCTCCCAGTTTATAGCCACATTCTAATTTTGTTTGTTTGTTTATCAAATTCTGATTAGGTATGGATCCATCTCTTCTCTCCCCAGCTATGGGTTAATTATTAAGACTTGTATCACTAAACGATTATCTAAAAATATTACAGTCCAAATATATTTTCTGGCTTTAAATATCCTAATAAGCCGTAGAAAGCAATTCACTCAATTAGTTTTACTGACAAAATATTTTTCATTATTCTTGGCAATTTTAGAAGTCAATGGTAAAGAAAATGGTAAAATTTAGAAATAAACACAACCCGGAACAGGTTAAGCCGTTATAAAGTGAAAACATCAAAGACTTTGGGCCGAACAGTAATTTCACTGTTTCTTATTTGAGATTCTGTAAGAATTATACTTGCAGATCTTCCATGGAATCATTTTCGACATTTTAAACCAGCCCACTTAATGGCATTTGGTACATTGATACAAGCCCAACAATACAAATCAAATGTAAATGAAGCCTTTAATCATAGTCTAATGTTTTTTTTTTCTGAATAGGACTTTATTACTATTGTTTTCCAGAGCACAAAAAACGTTTTTAAAAAGTTGTGTCGTTCGTTTAATGCCCCAATTGTTACCCTTCGTTGATTTTTCACACGCGAATTATTCGCTTTCCTCCTTTTCTCGCATTGAAAGTATTTATTTTTTTTTATTATTATTAAGGAATGAGACATTCATTGTTGGTGCGTCCATCACTGTTAATACGTTTGTTATGCATCTAGTTTTGATGCCTAAGTTGAAAAATCACAGAACTAGTGCTCACAAGCTATGAAGTTCAAACTGCGAGTCAAAGTTGTACATGGGAAAACCTTCAAGACTTCCCCGCTTCTTTGAGGGGCAAGCTATCAAAAGAAAGGCCCCGAATATATGACGCGAGGTTTATATAATCCCTGTTCATGGACATAGAACAGACGGTGTTTTTTTTAATTTTTTTGTTTGTTTATAAAAACGAAGACAGATGGCGCTCTGTTGGTTTTATTTTACGATAGACAAAGGGCGCTTTGACGTGGGGTAAGATTTAACGAGTTCGTTGAATAGACCATTACAATAACGTAGTGAGATCGATTCTCACAGAGTGCTCTACTAAATTAGCTTAGTAAATATATAAATTAGAGGGTCGTAAATAAATCTCTAAAACCATTACTACTGCAGTGAGATCCTCACTAAGGGTTCTGTTATTGTGACTTTTATCAGGCATAGCTTGGTGAATACATAGATGTGTCTTGCTATAGAGTAGCGGATAACAAGTTAATATGTAGTGAGTTAGAGCTTCACTGGCTACAACTTATTATGGTCCTGTAACAGATTAGACACAGCTATTTTTAAAATGTCATGTCTCTTCAAGATGTAGGCGGTCATGGCCCTCCACAGATTCCTTTTCTTTTTTTTATCTTTGAATTGCTATGTATTCTTGGAAAAGTCGGTGGAGTGGTTACCCTTTGCCGTCTCCACAGTTTGGAAATTAAAGTTGTGACAGCTAACCGAGATTAGAGATCCCATTTTACCCTGTTATTTAATCCATAGCCGTGAGGGGAAAAGATGGGTTCATGCATTTTCTAAGTGCATTTGTGCGACAAGTAACGCACAAAACAAAATTTGAACACAGCACGCTATGGAGGACGCGAATAAATCTTTCGTTTATTAGTCATTGAATTGTGTCACTTCATGTCTTCCATAGCCTGTCAGACTTTTCGGCTAACCTGATGAATATTTATGAGTGTATTTATCTATATTTCTGAGATGAGATATTGTAACTATTTGCACTATTTACATTGTTCGGATTATTGCTCAGTGGATAAAAGCGTTGCTTGAAGTAATCCAATGACTTAGCCCAAAGAGTTCTGAGTTCAATACCTGGCCACTGCAGAGGTGAACAAAAACTTGAAGAGTTGAGTTACTAAAGGGAGATAACTGAAACCGAGTTATCGAGAAAAGGCATGGCATGTGGAACTAGAACAATCTACTTCAGTGGCCGATATAAAGGATTCGGTTCGAAATTCCAACGTATATCACCTGAAGAAGACCGGAGCATACAACCACCGAAACGTTGTGAATATGATAATAAAGATGAGGACAACAGTTCGAACAATGTAAATAGTGCAATATTTACATTATTCAGACTATTGTCCTCATCTTTGTCGCCATATTTATCACAACGTTTCGGCCGTTGTACGCACCGGTCTCCTTCAGGTGGTTAGAATGTTGAACTGAAACCTTTATTTCGATCACTGGGGTAGACTGTTCTACTTCCACGTGCCATGTTTATTGGATTGTCAGTTATCAGTTATCTCCTGTTAATTCTCCTTTCCAAGTTCTCCACCGCCTTAACCAGGTATTGAACTCACACTCTTTGGGTTCTGTCACTGGATCTAACTAACGCTTTTATCTACTGTGTCATGTGTCCATAATACCTCATCTCAAAAATATAGACAGATACTAAATAGTGCAAATAGTCATGAGCGTTCTTAAATTTGAAAATTTTGGGAAATCAAGAATAATTTTGTTCTTGTAATATAAATACTTGTTACTAAATAAAATCCTTACATTTGCCTTGATAAAGCCCCTCAGAGAATGAAATGGGTCGGCTAAGATAAGTTTTCTTTTTGTGCTTATTCACACACACACACACACACACACACACACACACACACACACACACACACACACACACACACACACAGTCATCCTCAGACAGTTTCGCTGTATCACATCTCTCCAGTGTGGCTAGACGTTCGATCGCTTCAAGCCGAAATCGAAGCTCGATCGATTTGGTATCAGTCAGAGATCCTACCACTAAGCTGTCGGCGCACGACAACGAGAAAGGAAAATTTTAACGTTTTCTATACGAAATACGCCAGTAGCCAGGAGATCTCAATTCGTACTAGAAGAGCAATACATTGATAACAACCACTCTTTTTAAAATTACCCTTTTCTCCAGAGAGCTCTATCGGGCTTCTGAAAGCATATGTATAGCCATCCACAGACAGACTTTTTCGCTGTATCACAGCTCTTCAGTGTGGCTAGGCGTCCAATCGCTTCAAGCCGGGATCGATAGCTGACCGATTTGGCATCAGTATATATATATATATATATATATATATATATATATATACCGAGGAATATGGATTTTGAATTGATGGCCAGATCATTTTATTTTGCAGAGCAAGGGTAGTTTTGTTTTATCTTTAATCATACATGTATTATTAAAGGGTTGCTACCTTATGATATATAATATGCATGATATGGGGTGCTGAAAGTTTCTCACTTCATTCCACTTAGAAAAGAGGTCTTGGAGATGTTGAAGGCAATAGGGGCAGAGGAAGATAGTGCATAACCTGCCTAACGAGTTTGTGTAAATGGTTGGCAGAACAGAAAGATAAAACTAAGAGCTAAAAAGGACAGGGAATTGTGGAGAGCCATGATCACCCACATCCTGAAGGGACGTGGCACATAGGGCAAGAAGAAAGAGTTTGTGTAAATGGTTGGCAGAACAGGGATTAGGAGAGATAGGAAAAAAGACAAACTTTATTAAGAGCTACAAAAGAAAGAATGTTGTGGAGATCCATAATCGGCCACGTCCTGAAGAGACACGACACAAAGAAGAAGAAGAAGAAGAAGAAGAAGAAGAAGAAGGTGAAGGTGGTTGTGATGGTGGTTGTGGTGGTGGTGGTGGTGCAGTTACGGAATATTGTGTTGGAAGAAAAGTCATTAAAATACTGATTTTAAGAGAATAAAGATTTTGAGGATAAGATTGAAAAAAAATGTTTTTCTCTCTTTTTCATCTGTTCTTATCTATCTATCTATCTATCTATCTATCTACCTATCTATCTTCATCTGTTCTTACCTATGTATTTATCTATCTATCTATCTTCATTGTTCTTATCTATCTCACCCTGCTCAAATGTCTATATCTATCAATTATCTGTCTTCATATCTATCTTCATCTGATCATATCTATCTATCTATCTATCTATCTATCTATCTATCTATCTATCTATCTATCTATCTGTCTATTTTCATCTGTTCATATCTGTTCATATCAATGTTCATCTGATCTTTTCTATGTTCATCTATCTATCTATCTATCTATCTATCTATCTATCTATCTATCTATCTATCAGTCTGTCCATGGATATAGTATACAAATACGCACGTACCAGTCTATGAGTTGGCAGACATATCCTGTTTATAATCGAGTAAATAATTTGGATTTTCTTAGAGATTGCAATCAGCTGACAAGGCCATTTGCCATTCCCTATCGTTCTTCCTTATTTTCTAAACAACGAAAAACTTTCGTTTCTTGCTTCATCTATTGCTTCTTTCTTTTATTTATTCCTCCACTCCTTTATTTATTCCTTCCTTCCTTCCTTCCTTCCTTCCTTCCTTCCTTCCTTTACTTATTCTGTTCCATATTCATTCATTACTAAATTTTGTGTTTTGTTAAGTTGGAGGCAGAGCTGCCTGCCTTTAAAATCAGCATTTTACCGCTGGCGCCGATACAGGAAAAGGGCTACGGATCGTACAGTAGCTTAATCTTTCTTTCCAACCCATTCAAATGTGTTTCTGCATCTCTCTTTTTCACTCACCCACTTTCTTTCTTTCTTTCCAACTCATTCAAATCTGTTTCTGCATCTCTCTTTTTCACCCACTTTCTTTCTTTCTTTCTTTCTTTCTTTCTTTCTTTCTTTCTTTCTTTCTTTCTTTCTTTCTTTCTTTCTTTCTTTCTTTCTTTCTTTCTTTCTTTTTCTTTCTTTCTTTCTTTTCTTTCTTTCTTTCTTTCTTTCTTTCTTTCTTTCTTTCTTTCTTTCTTTCTTTCTTTCTTTCTTTCTTTCTTTCTTTATTTTCTTTCTTTTCTTTCTTTCTTTCTTTCTTTCTTTCTTTCTTTCTTTCTTTCTTTCTTTCTTTCTTTCTTTCTTTCTTTCTTTCTTTCTTTCTTTCTTTCTTTCTTTCTTTCTTTCTTTCTTTCTTTCTTTCTTTCTTTCTTTCTTTCTTTCTTTCTTTCTTTCTTTCTTTCTTTCTTTCTTTCTTTCTTTCTTTCTTTCTTTCTTTCTTTCTTTCTTTCTTTCTTTCTTTCTTTCTTTCTTTCTTTCTTTCTTTCTTTCTTTCTTTCTTTCTTTCTTTCTTTCTTTCTTTCTTTCTTTCTTTCTTTCTTTCTTTCTTTCTTTCTTTCTTTCTTTCTTTCTTTCTTTCTTTCTTTCTTTCTTTCTAGAGAGGTGATGAAAAGAAGCCCGATAAAGCAAAAAATAAATAAATAAATATCCATGGTCATTTCGTCAGATTATGTGAAGTGCGCCAGGTCGAAAACTTTTCAGCACCACCCGTTTGTCACACTCTCCTTGTCTTTCATGATTCACTTTTTAATATCAAGACAAATCTAAAGGTTCCCGCAACAAATCCCCGGCGATGCACGATGGTTTGTCCCACATGCGCTCTCTCAGGAACTCCTGCCATCCCTGGGTGCCCCATTACAGAGACCAGATTAAGTTCAGCTTTTTTTATTTTTATTTTTATTGTTGACTGATATCTACCTCCCCACCAGCTTTTACTCTTGTATTTCTCCTCATATCTCTTATACTTAAATAGTTAGGCTATTTTAAACATTTCACCCCAAATAAGGTAATAAAGCCACTAAGACGCAAGGGTTTACGTCATGGGAAGGAATATAAAGAGAAGAAGAACATTTTTAAAGAAAGAGGACAATAAGCGAATAGGAATTAAGAAGACAGAAGATAACAATTGGCTTTGCATTTAAATTTTTGAAGATCAAAGTTGACTGGAGAGCAAGAAGCTGGAAGAGAGTTCCACAAGTGAGAAGTGCGATAGAAGAAACTGCTATCATAGAACTTACGGCTATACTAGCCATTTCAACAGTAAAAGGATGAGACTTAACTGATAACCCAGTACTGCTCTTAAATTCGTCAAGTCGATGTATCAAAGAAGAAAGCTCGTTTTTTTTTTTTAATTATTTCATCCCAAGCAAGGCGATAATGCCACTAAGACGCAAGTGGTTACTGGGTGTGAAAGAGAAGATTTTAGCGAGGAGAAGTGAGGTGAAAGGACAATAAAAGAACAGGTAGATGACGTTTTAGGTATCAAAGAAGAAATTACATAGGAACAATTGCCATGAAAATGTTTATAGAAAAAGCACAGAGAAGCTACATTACGACGCTGGGAAAGTGACTGAAACCGAAATGCCAGTTCAGGCTCGATGACATTGCAGATTCATCTGTAAAAGGTTTCAACGAAAGCTAATCAGTAAATGCCATCCAAATGTAACTATGTAGCAGGCAGATTCCTGTGCATTTATTAATTTATTTATGATCGTAGAATGACAATCGAGAAACTGCGATAAAAAATGCAACGAAAATAAACTGAAAGAAATACGATTAAAAATGGTGATTTTTATCTTTCTCTTTCAAAGGTACCAGGTGTGAAAGCTCATTGGAATGGATCCAGGGTCTTCACACTCCTTGGGAGATCCCCTCACTGATTGACCATGTCTTCAATTGCGGGTTGATGAGGCTATTTAATCCTTAGTTTGAATTTTTTAATTCAGAGTTGTCCTTCTCGACCGGTTGTCACCCAAGCATGTAGGACACAATCTGCCCTGATATTCACTGATACAAGTCCTACTATTTAACATAGCAGGGGCGTGAGAGAATAGGTGGATTCATACTTCCCCTAAGAGTATTTGCACGTAACTGAATGTAACGAACACGGCTGGAATTCGAACTCGGCTTTCCGATTCCTCAATCCTAGCCGCTACATACTGTACCTTTCAAATTCACCACTGAGAGATAGGACTAAGTGTAAGAAGACAGAATTAATGGTCGTCAATAAAAGAGACAGCCTACGATAGGTGTTACATATTGGGGACGTCAAAGTGAAAGCAGGTATAGATATTTAACTATTTGGTGAAACAGAAACTGTGACACAGAAATCCGAAGGCGCATAACTATAGTGAAAGATCTCATTCAGAAACTAAGCTATTAAGATAGAAAAAAATGCTTTTAGAAACAAAGAAAAGATTGTTAATCTGACATGTAATATCTAATCTTTTGTATGGCAACGAACGTTGAACAAGACAAGATGAAGAAGAAACTTAAAGCGACAGAGATGTATTTCTACCGAAGAATGCTGAGAATACAATGAAAAAGTTTTAAGGAAAATAGGAACTACAAGGAAAAGGGCCCTCACAATCAGAAAGAGATAGATAACATTCCTGGGACGCATTAATGAGGAAAGATGGCTTGGAGAATGTAAAACTCATAGGGCATAGTGAAGGCAAGAGAAAAAAGGAAATTGTGTTTTAATGGTTTTGTGTGAATAGATGACAGAAGAGAGACAAAGAGGAATAGTAAAAATTCGAAAGCTATTGGTAGTAAGAAAATACAGAAAGTTGTGGAAAGCCATGATTACCCATGTTCTGAAGCCCATTAAAACTTAAAATTTATAAGTTGCATACTCATATTGTATTGGGTTCATCGCTTATTATTAGGCGCTTTGCTATTGAGGCCTTGTCCCAAACTAAACTGTTTTGTTAAATACTGTGGTGATTATATCCACGATATTACGTCAGGATACAATCCCAAGTTTATGGAGGGTTAGTGCTAAGCCACATGCGCTTAAACGAACTGGGTGACAGCCTGTACTATATAAATATATTTAATATCCAAATAGAAAAAAGTGGATGCATACAATGGGTGTCAGGGGACTTAGCGCAGGAGAAAGGTGTCCGGGTATCTTAATGGTCACTTTCAGTCCTTGGCTAGCTTTTTAAATAGTTGTAATTTCTATTAAGGTTGCTGGCCCCATTTCTCTGTAACCTGATGCTACTGACCAGGTTTGTGATGAGGTAGCAGCGTTGCTTCGTGGTATCTGAGTAACGTGGTGGAAGAAAAAGAGGATGGATCTTTGAATTTGGTTCTTATATAGCCATGGTCGCGTGACTCTTGTGGGGACAATGATTGGTCCTTTCTTTAACCATTCAGCGTCCTCATTTTATTCCATGTTTGATTAGTCGTATTTTTCTGATTGATTATTCTAAGTTCCAATAATACAAGGCTTTACCACAATTCTATCTCACATAGCTAAATCTACCTCAAGTGAAACTTTTATATATGATCCATCGATAAATATGCAGGTAAAATGATCGCCTCCCTGTACCATTTCAGTAAGTACCTGGCGGATCTCAATGTCACATTTAGCGTCCTCTGTCAGAACGCTTCCCGGGACCATCCTTTTACTGATGACTATGCATTCTGAGATCCGTAGACGTACTGGGATGGCCAAGGACGCATTCCAAAACCTGGGCAGAGTATTGCGAGACAGGAGGATTTCTTTGCTAACGAAGAAAAGAAAACTGAGCTGTGACGTGACATCTGTCCTTCTTTACGGCAGCGAATATTGAACGATTTCCTCAAAGATGAAGAGACTCGAGGCGACGGAGATGTGGTTCTACAGAAGGATGCTAAGGATATCATGGACCGAGCGTGTGAACAACGATGAGGTCTTAGAAAGATTACAAACAAGGAGAAGGCTTACTTAATATCAGGAAGAGGCAGCTGAAGTTTCTGGGACTCATAATGAGGAAGGAGGGCATGGAGAATCTGATACTCACGGGTCGAATAGAGGGAAAGAAAGACAGGGGAAAACAACGCATGACATTCCTAGCGGCTTTAAGCAAGTGGATGACAGAACGTGGTCTAGGGGAGGTGGCAGAAGGAAGGAACTACAAGTAGTCATGATCGCCTACGCCCTGAAAGGACACGGCACATAGAAAGAAAAAAGTACCTGACTTTTCATGCTATCCTCTACATTTATAAGAGCCAGATCAGGACGAAAATGGAGTACTGTTGTCATATGTGGGTGGGAGCTGTACAGTCCTCACTTTCCAGTCTTGATAGAGTTTTAAAGCGTCTCCGAGTCCTTGTTGAAGAAGAATTATTTTCCACCCTCCAACCTCTCTCTCACGAGTGGGATGTGGCGAGTCTCTCACTGCTCTATCGCTACTACCATTGAAAGGGATAGCACAAACTACATTCCTTGGTTCTGCCTTCACGGGAAGGACCCGCCATGCCACTTACATTGTAGCAAACCACCGATATTCCCTCCGTATTCCATCGGTAAGAATTAAGTTCTACTCAAACTTCTACCTGCAAACCATTGCCCTGTCGAACAGACTCCCAAGAGGATATTTCCCTGATCACTACAATCTTAACCTGTTCAAGTTTAGAGTTAAAACCATTATCTTCCCCTCCTACCCATATAAACTACCCCTTAACTCGCTATGTCGAGTGATCCCTGAGTCTTCTACAGGGTGAACCTTACGTAAAAAAAAAATCTCTTCTCCTTCCGGCTATGGGTAAATAGCAGAAGAAACTGGGTCCCGCAACCTTGGGTGGAGAAGGACAACTCTAAATTCAAA